AAGAAATAAAAAACCTCCTGTCGAAACTGAGCACGACTGATGTCAGTGTTTTTCATGACCAAATGCAGAAAGTTAAGTCCTGTCTCGTCACTTGCACTAATTGCAACTTGTGGCACGACGTCTAGCTCCATCCCTTTTTACAGTCGGGAGAATAATGAGCTCTGTGTCCTGCCAGGCTAGGATTTGTATGATCAGAACAAGTGAAAAAATGAACCATGATAACAATACTGGTGAAAGCAATGTTAGACTGCAGGGAAATGGTAAATGGAATTGAGCTTGTAAAGCACTTTTCTAGTCTTCTGACTACTCAAAGTGCTTTCACACCTATCCCATTCACACCCATTCACACACTGATGGCAGAGGTTGCTACTTAAAATGACCATCAGAAGTAAATAATCCCATACATGCATACGCTTCTGACGAAGCAGCGTGAGCAATTCACGTCGGACGCGTTGCTGCAGGAGCTGAGAAACAAAACCCCCGACATTCCGGTTGAGAAACGACCGACTCTACCAACTGAGCCACCAACAGAAAAAATTACACATGACAAAACCGTTCAGAGTCACTACCGCCTACTACTGCATGACAGTTAAGGGTTCAAGACCCTTATTAAAAGAAATGGAATGGAAATTTGAGGTTTACTAGCTTTGCTTAAAACAGACCCCTTTTCCTATAATTTAGTGCTATTATGTCTTGTAAACAGATGAAATCTTGGAAAAACTATTTCAACAGCATTTTTCAGACGAGGTTTCGTAGTGACTTCAGTTTACAGATTAATAGTTCACACAGGGGGTCCAGACAGTGACTTTTACACACCATATGTCAAATTGAGTTGACAACAAGGGCAAACCCACGACAACAGCCTGTAAAAATGTCCTTAGAATTCAGACACAGGAGCATCAGAAAATGCGACATGTCTAGGCAACACAACAGTAGTAATCCAGAACACAGATTGAATTGTGACCCCCACGGAGAGAAAGAGACCAGGCTCTGAATTTGATGGATTTACGGTCAGTCAAACAACAATTTAGACAAGCAGAGTGTTCCTTGGGGCTTTCTGCGCAGAAAAACACAAATATATTATCATAGAACCAACTCATTGGTGCGTTGAATTTGCTAACCTTGTATATTTCCCTGCATCATTGTCATAGCACTACGAAGGACGTCTAACAGGCCATACTTCTCTTTTGTAAAGGTTTGAAAACTTTCAACATGATTCTAATGCTGTTTGAAAGCAACCTCCTTTTTCATGACAGCTTCTACAAGCACGTTGACATTTATAATGTAAGAGAAGGCTGCATTTCTTTATTTTGTTTAGGTCCTGGTACTGTGCATGCTAGCTCTTTGTAATAGTCTTATTTGGACATTTAAATAGAACACAGAAGTCAACCATGCCATTAATAACACTTGTGCGTTTTCCAATAATGACAAATCCAATCGCTGCTGTGAGTAAGGTCTGTTTGTGCAGTGTACACCGAGAAGTGGGGCTGATACCATTTGAACACAGAGCTTGAATGCTTTTTTTTATCCTTTGAATGCATTTCTTTTCTTTTTTTAGTACAAAAGAGGCAGAAAATGAGTCCCGGGTGGTTGAGAATGAGTTTGAATATATTCAGGTTCCAAACAAATGGTTAAGTATAATTACATTTTCAGCGTCAGGATTCAAGATTCAGGATTCAGGTTTGGATTCATTTTTTAGACGTGTCATTAAAATGCAAATATATGTAACTTGTTTGCATTCACACTGCAAACAGAAAATATGCCACAATGCCGAGTTATTATTTCATAACATCTTCATTGTACTTGCAAGGATGAAGTTTCAAACGGCAGCAGCTTGATGGACTGTGGCACATTTGAGGTGCTGCTGCAAGTGCAAACAGTAAACTAAGTGCTGTCAAATGATGCAACTATTTCAGAGAATTATTTCCCACTGAAACACTCCACCAGCTGCATAACAATGGCTTTGAGTCAACGCTGATAATGATGAGAAACACGCAGAACGTTCACAAGAAAACGTGGGGGCGTGCTACCGTGCTTATGTTACAAACTTGCACACACAAAAAAAGCGGTCACAATGCGTTCAAGCTGTTCGTAAAAGACTAGTGCACTAATGCATGCACATACACACTCTTTCTGAGTTGCTGTGTCAGCAGCTTTGGGACAGGAAGGCCAGCCCTTAAATCTGTGCTATGAATGTTAAGACAGAACTCAGCCAATTAAAACTCAATTACTGCCACGCTGTCGGATACGATACTCTGTCTTCCTTCCTCCTCTTCCTCTCTTTGCCTTGCTCTTTTTTCACTCTCTCTCTCTCTCTCTCTCTCCAAGCTTCTAGCCACGTCCCCCTTTCAAACTCTGCCACCTCCTGTCTCTCCTTGAATCAATCTTTTCCACCCTGTACCTTCTTTTTCTTTAACAGTTTTCTCCTCTCCCTGTTACTGCCTCTCTCACTCATTAAAACAGTTCCCCAGTCGTTTCCCAGTAGAGTGAAGGAGGATAAAAATAGATCTTTAGCTTGTGCTCGCTGGCTCTCTCTTGCCAGCTTGCATTCCATACATCAAATAACTACTTTTTATTTCATAATAACCATTGTTTCATCTTCTCTCTTTCTTTGTTCTTTGCTGACTATAAGTCTCGCTTTCCTCTTGCTCTCCAGCCCCTTGCCCAACTGATACTCATCATATCTGCTTCTTTTAAGGCAGTGTGCAGCTCTGTGTCTATAGAACCAGTGGATTTATTGAAATGGTTATCACACAGTTCCGCACAATCCTGCAGCTTGTTTAAAAATTAAGAAAGAGCTGCTTGATTGTTGCTGTTAGGCTAAGATTAGCATGAAATGCAAATGTAAGTTGTTGTGTGTTAAACGACGTTCTGCATCGGAGCAGTTGGTAATTAGGTAGTGCAAGCATTTTGAGATGTTGACAGTTGATGCCACAGTCTGCTGTAAAGGCACAATCATCTCTTAGAATAACTCCAGGCCACATGATATGAGTGTCTTTGACATTGTCATCAACAGTGTAATCATCTGGAAAGAAAAAATGTTAATGCACGAGTGCAGTCGATAAATGGATTCAGTGCAGTGTGTATTCACTCACACGCACAACGCTCTTGTACCAACAAGTGTGAAACAAAGGCCAGATGGATGACTAAGCAACGACTAAATCAACTTCCTTGGTAGTGCACATTAGAGAGGACAGATCTCTTCTTTACAGAGATACATTTGGGGAATATACCGTAGCTGTTCTGCAGTGGAGCAAAGCAAAGAATCAATCTTAGACAAAGGAGTATGCCTGGATGGCAGAGAAACCCCCTATAAACGCACACACACACACACACACACACACACACACACACACACACACACACACACACACACACACACACACACACACACACACACACTGGAGGAGCAAATGGCCATCTGGCTGCTCTGAAGGCAAACCTTTTTTATGCTGTTTGCTCATTAGTAAAAGTTTCTTTTGTCAGCAGCACAGCGATAGGATAGAGAAGGAAGAGCTGTAAAGGGAAGAGAGACTGAAGATGAAAAGAGAGAGAAAGTTTCATCACATGCGATGCCAAAGGGTATAAACAAACTGCTCACTGGCACAGCTTCACAGTAATATAAACTTTCCCCTTTAGAAACTCTTCTAATGCCCAAACATGCTAAAAATACGACACACTGCCGCAGCAGATCAGACAGCAGAGCTTCACTGTGGAAAGCTCCCTGCTGAACAAACAGACAATAAATCTTATGTCTGTGTGGAAACACAATCAACTGTCTGAAAACACATAAGGCCGGAGGCAGGTTGTTTTTACTTTCTCTTCAAGTACTGGCTATATGCTTAATATTAAGAAATACTTAAAGGGATACTTCACCAATTTGCATTAAGCTTTGTATCATTAGAAACCTGGTAGTATTTTTGAATGGTCGTACATCCCGCCCTCATTTTACCCTGAGACGGGAAATCTTTGTATTTCTTGTCTGCAAAAGGAGCCTCCCATGACGCAAAAATTGGCATTTTGCATCATCGGCGGGTGTTGTGGTTAGCGGGGGTGAAACTACAACACTAGTTCCTCATATTTTTGACCACTGAAGCTACAGACCTATCACAGCTCAGTGGGTGGGACCTCACTCCCAGAATCAAAACTCAACGTCCGCCATATTGCTTGGTAGCTATTCTAACAGGCTCTATGAAGAAAGCTGATGAAAACCAACAATGGCAAAAAAATTATATTTCAACTTCAAACTGATATGGATGAAGGGGATTTTGAAGGTCTTGTGCTTGAATCGGATGTTTGTGGCTATCTCTACCAACCGCAATGAAGCAGGGAGGCGGCTGCTGCCTCCTACCTCGGCTGCTGCAGCCGAGATAGGAGACCTGCCTGTCGGCGGCGGTGAGGACGAGGAGCCCGGTGCGGCTCGAGCTGGGGTTGGTGCATTCTGGGAGTTGGCGTCTTTCATTCACGAATAGCCAAAAATACACTTTCTGCCTTTTCTCGGTCAAGAAAGCACCAACTTCAAAATTTATTTCACATTTCTACTACATACATGACCCAATTTCAATACAGATTCATGTTTCAACGGGTGAAGTATTCCTTTAACTTAGAAATGGTAAAGAGGCTGGATAAAAGAGCATATTGGCTCACATCCATTGGTGTCCTAAAGCTTTGGATCCTCTCAAAGTGTATATTTTTGATGTCCTATTTGTGCCACGAATGAAGGATTATTTTAAGCCTGTTTCATTGAGCTCTGGTTTCAGGTATCCTGCGAACTAAAAGAAGATGGGTCATATTGAAGCATCTTCTTGGTTGTGGTATTAATACAGCTTATTGATCCCAGTGCAGCACAATGTAATTTCTTGTGCATGTAATGAATCTGCTATCAAAATCATTTTATTGTACCTTCAAATTAAAGTAACCTGTGACATTTTTGAAAGAAAAAACAACATTTTCTTTCAGATGAGTTTTCAGCAGAGAACAATTGAGATAAATTCACTCACCATCTTTGTCAGCTCTTCTGAATATCTGTGAAAAGACAAGACAGTGTAGTTAGTATCAATGCAGGTCATTTGATCCATCTTACAATAACACTGTAGACAAAATCCAATGAAGGAGAGCAGGTCCATTCAGAACACTTACTACAAGATATTGACTTCTCAATGTCTTAGTAAATCAAACCTTATAGAGTTGACACAACACAAAAAATAACTTGTACTTTTTCAAAAAGAATACTTTTTGCTGAAGGGGGTGGAGTTTGCATGTGGATTCTTTCCGGGCACTCTAGCTTACTTCAAAAGTCAAAAGACATGCTTGTTAGGTTAACCTGTGACTTCAAGGCTGCCTGTAGGTGTGAAAGTGAGTGTGAATGGTTGTTTGTCTCTGTATGTCCGCACAGTGATGGACTGGCGACCGTTCCCAGATGTAGCCAGCCACTCCACAGCTCCCGCACCGGACAAGCGGTATAGATGATGGATGAATTGACATTTGCTGATTTTGCGTTTAATTAATTTATATATGTTATATGTTCCATCAAACTGTGGATGAATTTAATTTTTAAGTGTATGTAGTGAAGTAAAACTGTGTATCATCTGCATAAGATGACAAAAGTTGACTGAACCGCATATTGAACCCTAATAAGTTTTATTTGTGGCTTCTACGTGTTTTAATACAAATGAGTGTCAGTGTAAATATCTGCAACATTTCCAAAAAGCTACACAATATTGCTTAGATCTGCTGCAATGGAGAAAGTATCTCTCTAAAAATTAAAAAATCCAGTTAATTAAACTGAAATTAAATTAAACTGATTACCTGCTGTGCATTGATGCTACACATTTATTGCATTTATGCACACAATATCCTTGGAGCATTATAGCTTTTGTAAAAGATTTTCCCCCTATGGAACTGAACTAAGCCTGTCTGTGTTTTTATCAGTGTTTCAGGGTGTGATATAAACCATTTCAAAACAACTGCTAGAGAACATCGTATTGATACTGGAAGAGCTGGAAGACAGATGGGGGATACAATGAACAGACAGGAAGAAAGTGGAAAGGAGGATTCTGATTTGCTTCAGAGACAATCTCCCACTATAATTGTTCTTGTGAAGAACCAAAGTAACAACTTAAGATACTTTTTTCCAACCATAATAAAGGATAATTTGTTTTGTAAGTTGTTGTAAAAATAAAGATTTTGATTAGAGAATCTCAAACCAAATCACATTCTGTATAAAGGAGGAAGTACGTGAAGTTCACAGATTTGTTTTACCCATGACTCTTTCAAAAAGAAAATGGAGCAGAGCTTATGATAATTGCTTCCTTCAATTGTCCAAAGCTGTTTATATGCCTTTGAATGCACTCCACACTGACGTTCATTTTCATTTATTAATGGATATGTACTGTTTGAACTAAGATGTTTAAGAGCTGTATCTATTTTACTGCCACTCTATAAAAGGAAGATAACCGAGGACAGCTCCATCTTAAAACAAATTAGACCAAACATTGTAGAACCACAAAATGTTATGTTGTTTCACAAAGGGTAAGAACATGCTTACACTTAACTTGCATTCTTTCTGATGGCCAACAGGGGGAAACTAAGCTGATTGCAAACAGAAGTCAGATAGTAAAAAATCAAATGGAAAATTACCCTTCTTCCTGTGGTTGACAGGTGGCTACAGGGGGCTAGCTCTATTGAGCCTTGTATTTCTTTATGTTGCAACAACATCATCAGCTTGTTTAATATAATTAATTAGATACAAAGTTATTAGACACAAAATGAATCCCCTCCAGTCCTCTTGTGGTATCAATTTATCCTAAAACACAGGAACATCAGCGACAGCTATAAACCTGAGTAGACAGCTTCTCTTCAATTGACCAACTGATCTTGAATCTTTTCTTAATCTTAACCACCACACTCTCTCTTAAACCTGCCTTAGGGATGTCTAACGCTTAATTAAAATGTCCTCACTGAATAATCTGCCCTAATCACCTTTGTTGGTATTCCCTGTCACTTGTATGTGTTAGTCACTGTTATTGAAGCTTATTTCGAAAAGCCTATACTGCTGTTCCAAACGCCTCAGCCACCTTAAACATGTGTATCCTCTCTGTGATGCTACAGACAGCAGTCACCAATTTGTTGTAGAACTTCCCACATAACATTTAACTTGCATCACGGTATAATGCAAAAAAAAGTTAAGTGCTGAAAATGTCAAAATATAGCATACACATTGATTTTTATGTCGTTTTGTTTTTTGTCAAATGGACCTGTCTGCAGCGATGTATAGCCTAGCTTAGGTGCCAGCACCCTGGCTCGTTTCTGTAGGATATAGGGGTCAAGCTGACTAGTATGTCCTGTGACTTATAAATTTACTGACAAGTTCCTCATACAACCTCATTAAAAGACAAAACAATAAAAATATAAGAAACTACTTTTTTAATATTCAGGTTTGTTTGCGCTACTTGCTTGCTAGTGTTAGCACCTTAGCAAAACTTCAGCCATGCTGTATCAACAGGTGAGATGTGTCTTGCTGTTGTACTTTCGTCTTTACTTTTAAGTGTACAGATGGGCTGACATTTGGAGCATTAACCTTCCGTCTTACTAAGTCCCCATAATGACAACTGTAAAATCGCTTAGGCAATTTCTGACATTGTTTACTCTTTGTATAGCTAACTAGCTAGCCACCTACCAATATCTTTATGCTCCTGAAAAGGTTCATGTAGGAGTCATGCAAGAAAAGGGTTGCTGTGCCCAGTATACAGAACAAGCACAGCCTCAGTAAACCAGTTTATAACATCGAAATCTGGCCATTGACCAGTTCATGTTACTTTATTACCAACCCAGGGCTCTGCGAACCAACTCACTCACATCTTTAACATTAAAAAAATTTACCAATTATAAGAATCTTAACAGCCATAATTAGGCAGCTTTTCATTGTTCTCATATTGCATGGACAAAACCTTTCAATCAACTACCTGAGAAAATAATGAATCTCAAGTAAACGATATAGCATGGACAAGAAAACGTAAATGCAAACCAGTTTTAATGATGAAACTTAATTATATTTTTAGTAAAGCACAATTGTAAATGTAGGCCTACACTATTCTCCAGTCTCTTATCCTTTGCTCTCAAAGTGTAATGCTGGTTTAGTTCTTGGTGCATGCAGCAAGTGACTGCAGCCATCTGAACAAGCCAAAAATGAAAATCACTAACTGCTGAGACGCACAACATTTCAAATGACAAGCTGTTCAGCATTGTTCTGGTCTCCAGCTGCACCCTGGGGTGCACTCAACTCCATAGAAAACAGCCAACTCCAGAGCTGCTGGAGACAGACAAGCTTGGAAGAGGAGGGAAACTGTTGCAGTTAGGAGGTGATGTGGGTGTATGTGTGTGGAAAATTGTAACAAATACAAATACACATTGAGATGTAACTGAAAGACAGAAAAGAGGCAAATCAGAAAATAACTAAACAAATAGAAACAGAAAACAAAGAGATACATATGCAGGGTGGGGAAATGTTGCATCCATCTCCTGACCTTATTAAGAATGGATGCTTTCTTGGCCTGGCTGGGAGGGAGGGGAGGAGAGGGGAGGGGCGAAGACAAGAAGAAAAAAGGCAGAGGGGAGAGAAAGATGCAGGGACACAGGATGAAAGGAGTTTAAAGAAAGGAAGGAAAGCTGCACCAAGGTTGAGATGAAGAAGAATACAACAGCAAAGAATGAAAAAAAAACAAGCAATGAAACAGAGTCTAATGAGGAGAGTGCTTCTAGCAGACACACACATACAGAGAGAGAGAGACACACACACGGTCAGTGCAACCACTCCAGTCCCTCTGGTGAAGACATTTTCAACACATTAATAATGCTGGGGTCAATGATATTGAAAAATGGCAAAAACCATTAACATTTCAAAGTTCAGGCTGATTCAGAAAGTGGACTGGAGAGAAAATGCCAAAAAGAGTTCACTGCTGATGCCAGAGGGGGGCAGCCCGCAGTGTGTATCGACCAATCAGTGTGAGTATTGCAGTTAACTGTCTTTCTATAGGCATCAGATAAAATGCAAGAAAAAGGAAGCAATCATGTGGAAATCATTAGAAACTCCAAAAAGAAAAGAGCAAAACGTTTTGTTATAGTGTCAAATTGTCTTGACAAACTGACCTTTCCTGACCAAATCAATGCAATCTTATTGTTTTTTTCTTTTTCAATATTTTCCTGAAATATGTTAAGTGTGGCATAGACAGTGTGGCCAAAGTTGCACAAGACTGTATTTTTTAACGTGATTAAATTGATAAAAAAATAAACATTTTCTTCCCAAGTCACACATCAGAATCAGGTTTATTTTAGGTCCTGACTCCACACTCAAAGCTCATGAAACCCTGCTGCACCGCATCATCCTGAGAAGACAGTCTCCTTCAGGAGGAGCATCAGTAGCAAATTAGAGTCCACCCCATCAGCCTCTATTAACACCAACACAAACAGAATTAGTTTACTAGGGTACTGGGATTACCAGTACCCTTTGCTCTTGATAATAATTTGTTTTCCATGGACCCCTCCTTTCACATCAGTCTATTTGGGTCATAGTCAGGGTCTAATGAAAGAGAACTACGTCTCCCTTTTGTTTTTCGACCCTGTAAAGCATTAAAGCAACATCATCTGGTCTCCAGGGGACAGATTTAGTGGGGCAATAAAAAAAAAATTAACCCAATAATATTGATGGACTGACCTACTTCGATTTGACACTGCGTAATTGGCACTTCCAACACAAAAATACTTTCCCACTACCCCCTACGTCAGTTTATGAGCTCTGCAAAAATAAAGCAGCAAGGCATTTTCCTAAGTAGGTTAATTGAAGTGATGATTAAACTTTTTCGGACTTTCTGATTCTTTTACTAGGTGCACAGCTGCTGAGCGGCGAAGTGCGGGCAGTGCAGACTTTGTTTGGATGGACTGTTAAAAAAAAACGTCAGCCGTACTGCATTTAACTGTGTTATGACTCTCATGTAGGTATAAAACGTGTACAAATCAAGCCAAGCACAAGAATGTTTGTGTCGACGATGCGCAAAATGTAAAGTAAATGTTGGACTTCAGATTGAGGATGTGCACACAATGTGTTTTACCAGGCAGATCACAAACAGCCTACATTGCAAATTGTAAGTTAACCAGGATACTGCCAAGCTCAGTGCCCAAGCCTTAGAACTAATTAGCCAATGTAGAAGTGCGGACTGCACTTGTCCGTGCGTACTGCTCAGTGGCCGCTTCATCCCGTGTACCCTCCCAACCAAACCTGTCAGGCTGACCAACACTCACATCCAAAATAACGGAGATGCCTCTCCGCGGTTCCGGGGCAAAGAACTGCTCCTGAGCCACGGCCACCTCCTCTCTGCTGGAGGCGTACTCCCGGCTGGAGATGTTCTTGTTGTCGCTCATTTTGGTGACGATCCAGCGGACGAGCCCGTCGATTCCACCGGGCTGGGCGCCGCTGTTTCCGGACTGCGCTGCCGTCGCGGACTCGCTGTCCTGACAGGCTACGGGTTTCGGCTGCTCGCTGCTTTCCTGGGCTCGAAGTTTGGCTTGTTCTTTGTTCAGCAGTTTGTGGACTCCGTCCCTACAGTAGCGCGCTGCCTGCTCACACATCCTTTTGCTGCGGAGCGCTCATGCTGCGCTCTATGGGGGAGAGAGAGAAACCCCCCCCTCCCCCGTTACATCACATCACCAACCCCAAAAACACTCCCACCGATCCTACACATCTCCAATAAAACCCATTTAACGGAAAATCGTTACTTGCAATCTTTTAAGGTCTAGTGGATAAGTTTAATGCTGACTTACGATACTTTTCAGTTTTTAGTAACCTAATCACATCTTATTTTGTAGGCTATACAATTAAGATGTTTCATGTGCGAGACAATATTTAGGTAGGCTATTATTGCCTACATGCTCACTCTTTTTTGTCCTGCCTTCGTCTATAAATGCTCTGATCCTTCAGGTAAACGCATTTGTCTTATAGTGACATTGTCTAAGCTTGTGACCATAGACAGTTATTAATCAAGACAGGGGTTTCATGTCCTCTGTTTTTTCGTTTCTTGAATAACTTAACGTCTGAACACCGTCAATACCTAGGCTACTGTATTTCCTTTCTTTCGCTGTACATTAGTCAGCAGGTTAGGACCGCATGCGTCGCTCATTTTGTCCAAATGGTGAGATCAGAGAATTTCTCTTGGAGTAAGAGGAGTGTACCATGCCCGGCTACTCAGAATTATAGGTATTGTTTAAAATGAGCGTGTCTTTCAGCTCTGCCACCTTTCAGCTGAGTAGCCTACCTAATCTTGCCTGCGATGTGTCCCATATCTAACAGCCAACTGGGTGGTTTTAGAAAAATGAACACCAGGTGGAAAGTTGATAGGCCTACTTAAATAAAAGTTTCTACGGATGAACACAAAGCACAAAAACAGGTGACAGGTAAGGTAACAACATTTTTTTTTCTCCCCACAACACTGGTGCTGTAACGCTGGTTCAAATCACTTGACATGATTGCCCCCTTGTGGAACTGTATGGAATGACAGTTCAGTTCTCTGCAGGTCAGGAGTTACTCAACTTGTGAACACAGCTTAAGAAAAATAAATAAATACATTTCATACATAATGAATATTTAGTCTACACATTCAACTGAAAATACATGTCTAAATATAGGGCTTTATAGTGACATAATAAAGGCTGGGTTATTTTTCACTATGAGATTACTCAGAAGTAGCACTTCTCGAGATGCCTTACAGGACTTTAAGATTTTTTGTTCTTTTTATTTTCAAGAGTAAGTCCACCCCTTTGACCCCTGTTGGGTGGCAGGAGCTCAGTCTGTAGGAACTTGGGTTGGGAACTGGAGGGTTGCTGGTTCAACTCCCGGTGCTGACCGAAATATATAGGTTGGTCTTGTTGCTGGAGAGGTGCCAGGTCACTTCCGCAGTACTGCGGAGGTGTCCTTGAGCAATGCACCGAACCCTCAACAGCTCTGGTGCGCTCCCATTGTGTAGCAGCCATACTCTGACATCTCTACATTAGTGCATGTCCATGGGCCTGTTTCAGCATGTGTGTATTTTGGGCCCACATGTGTGAGAAGCATGTCCCTTAACATATCTCCCGGGTTAAAAAAAAAAGAGATACCAATTACTGGGTAATTGGAGAGTGCTAGGAAAGAGGCAATAAGCTGAATATTCAAGATTAATAAAAGGGTGTCCTGGTTACAGTAAACCAAACCGACTCCGTAAATAAAATCTGGAATATCAGGAGTTGGTAAAAAATGCCAAAGAATTTCCGAATGGTTGTTCTCTGTGGTTGTGAATTGTTTGTTTTAGTGATTTTTGAATGTTCTATTTTAATATTTCTTTTTTTTCCTTGTGTCATGATGCTTTTGATGTTGTATAAAGCACTTTGAATTGCCTTGTTGAAATGTGCTATATAAATAAACTTGCCTTGCCTTAATAGGCTAACAAAGTGTAAACCAGAATTTCCCTCAGGGATTAAAAAAACTAATATAAAAAAAAACCAAAAAACATAGCAGTGCAATAGAATAAAGTTTGAAGTAATGAATGCAAAGAGGCCTATGCATGAGTTTTAAAGTCAGACTGCACCATCCTGTTCACTGGAACTGTTCCAGAATGTACTTGCTTCATCTTGTGATCATGCTGCTGGCTCTAAACTCAGTGTATTGTGTATAGAAAAAGATTGGATTTCAACAAAAGTCTTGGCCGGCTGCTCAGTAGATATACTGGAATATCTTAAATTACTGTTGTTTATTTCCACTTCAGCTCCTCCAAAAAGAACATGTTTTGAATGCATTTATCACTCCTCAATCTGATTATCATCCTGGTCCTCTGCTGTTTGTTTATTCAAATGTAGAGTCAATATAGCTTAGTCTATAAAACTAGTAATGCTAATCAATCATAACTTATCATCATATATGTGATACTGTGTATGCAGTCCTCTGCCTGTATTTTGACGTTTCGTTTTTCTTGACATGGGACGTTTCAGGGTGGGGAGTGGATGACAGCGGGTTGGTGAGTTTAGGAGCTGATACTATTCGGTGACAGGCCACAATCAAACCAATGTAAATGATGGACGTAGCAGCAAAGAAGAGAAAACATAAGTGAGGCCAAGCTCTAAAGCTCATTTCAAAACTAGGGTGAACCTTGTGATGGCTTTTACCCGCAGATGCAGAGTTGGCCTGCTTTCTGTTTGACTCGCAGGTGTGAAACACTGGTGGTCACTTTGTGCTATCATGTGGTAACTTGTAGTGTAGGTAAAAGCAGCAAGAACACAATATGTCCTGCAGAGAGTCTGCACTTCTGGGGGCTGTGAGCCCAGGAGGAGGGGTCCAGTTTGAGTGTTGTGTTTACAAGCTTCAACGAACAATGAATCTACCTTTAATATTTACAACAACAATAATAAGTGTATTTACATAGCAATCCAATTATAGAGTCAGTCGTGCATGCTTTGACAGAAAAACCAAACACAGGCAGAGAGCACCCAAACAAAAGCAAGCCAATGACAGTTAAGATGAAATCGTAGAGAGAAGACAAATTGCACAAACATATAGGGAGAAAACAGAGGGATGTTGGAAGTTCAATTATACATTCTAAATGTAAAACATATCTATTATATGGGTTTTAAAAAAATCATACTTTAAAAGAAGTCCTTATTCTGCAAGCCTCATCTCTGACAAATCGTAGAGAGAAGACAAATTGCACAAACATATAGGGAGAAAACAGAGGGATGTTGGAAGTTCAATTATACATTCTAAATGTAAAACATATCTATTATATGGGTTTTAAAAAAATCATACTTTAAAAGAAGTCACTTATTCTGCAAGCCTCATCTCTGACTCCAACACACAATGTAGGGGATAGTGATGGCTACAAATCCCTTTGATCACTTTGGTATTTTCTTGAAATTTTGAAATAGAAATTTAGAATAGAAATAGAAATTTTCTTGAAAGATATGGGCCGTGTCTAGTGCGTAGCTGGGTTGTCTTAAAATAGGTACACAGAGAGGAAGATTGAGTGTTAGGGAAACTAATAGCAGTTGATGAAGATGATGCTTGATGATGTCGTTTTTCTTATTTGTGAGGAAACCCTCTTAAAAGTCAATTCTTTGTTATCATTAACTCTTAGAGAAGATCCAGGACAATTTAATGACCTTTAAAAATGGCAAAGAAATGGTGATGGCAGAATCACTATCTTACCTAATGTTCTTTTTTTTTTTTGTCCCATTCAAGTAATATCAAAAGAATCCATCCATATGACATGTGGAAGTGAGCCAAATGGAAGCAAGCCAAAACTAAAGTCTGGTTTCTCAATTGAACAAGACAGAATCAATCAATCAATCTTTATTTGTATAGCGGCAATTCATAACAAGTGTTGTCTCGAGACACTTTACAAAAAGCAGGTAAAAGTTGGTCGTTCAGTCAGGTCGTCCACTAACGATCCAGAGGAACCTAAGAGGGCTCAGGAGGGCTCTGAAACTGAAAAGCTCTTCCTCCCATAGTACATTTAGAGACTGTAGGTACCACGAGCAGGCCTGCATTCTGGGAGCGTAATGTTCTCGAAAGGCAATATGCAATATAAGCTCTTTAAGATAAGATGTTGCAGAGTCATATCATTTGAATTTACAGTTCACAATGAAGCCGTTGATATCAAATAAATGTTACTGTGGCGCGCTGGGAACGGTGCAAAATATTGCTCCAAAATGGACTCTTTTTTACCGCAGTGTAGTACAGTATAAAAATAGGGTCGTATGAAATCGAATCTATGAAGGGCATTAAAATTATGAATTTATACATAAAACACAAATATGATCCAAACCATATTCTTGGCTGAATTCCTCTAACAACTGGTTTAATCTGCAGCCTGCAACATCACTCACTCTCAATCTTGACTCGACTGACCGCTGACAGATCAATCTAGTGGAGAGGTGCGGGGCCGACTAAACCATTCTGCGCATTCGGTAGGGGTGAGAGGGGCCTCTGAGAGAGACTCCACATTTCAGAAAGGTATTCTGAATGTTTGTTCGTTAATTCAGACAATTTTATTGCAGTTATAACTTAGAGAAGAAGGCATGATAAAAAAATACATTCTTATTTCAGGCCCATTATGGGCCCCTCTCCCCAATGGGGCCCTGGGTAGTCAGTCCCACTTTTCCCCCATTTCTGCCTTTTCCCCCATTTCTGCCAGACCATTAAGAGCTTTGTAAGTGAGAAGAATGATTTGAAATTCTATTCTCATATAGCGGCCAACTTCCATGTTTGAGCATGATTGCATTCACATCTCCCGTGGACCGTTGGAGTACAAATGAATCATGCCCACCTCTTCAAGAGGACTCGGGCACAGTACCCGAGTATGGTACTAGTTTGTGTTCACACTGATAACATGAACTAACTTTGGGGTCAAACGTACTTGTATCCAGGCCGGGTCCCTAGTGTGAAACCACCTGGGAAACATGCCATCTTGAAGTGCTGGCTTCTCTGACAAAACCGCAGCAGCCAGTATGTCCTCTTTCTAAGTTTTGTTTTTGTTTTCAGTAGAGATGGTGGGCGGTTTAAGACACCCCCAGATAGGAGTTGTGAATGCCCCACAGTTTACAAGGCAAACGGCAAACCAACAGGTGT